TAATGCATGCAGACCATGGGGTCTCCTCCAAGGAGTCACTACAAAATATATACTCATCATGCAGGAAGTACCCACGATATGTACCATCAAGCAACTGCCACCACCTGTCAGTACTCAGTATAGCTATACCACTCTACACTAATGCATACAGACCATGGGATATCCTCCACAATTTTCCTGCTGTTCAGCAGTGGGAGTACAAACTACTCTATTTCCAACCATCCTCAGTAGGATTGACAAGGTATTGTTAGCATGATCTTACTGATCATAAGTAGTAGCTACTTTGGGCTGTGATGTGCATCTGCATTTTGCGTAACCAAGGGAAATCTTGTACGAGCTTTTCACTCACTGCTTGCCTTTCATGCACCATAACAAGTGCAGCAGGAGGAGTGATGAGCTAGTACGTCATGTGCGTTCCTCTGCCATACAAGTATAGGTTATACGATGGCGGCGCGTGGTCTACAGGTTGTATATACACGAGTGGGCGGTTTTGATAGGGCACGAGGGCATAGCCCGAGTGGTCTATCAAAACTGAAGCCACGAGTGTGCAACCAGTAGACCACAAGCCAGCCATCGTATAACCATAGATAATATACCGGAACAGGATTGGACACTTAGCACGTGAGCGCGCGGTGAATGCACTCGGCGTTGCCACGATTATCACGTGTTGGAGGCTGCGGTTTTGTACTGAGCGGTACGTGTAGAGACTTTTGAGACGTTTGTGGGACTCTATCCTCGGAGCAGCGGGAGCTAAGAGAAAGGTGAGTCCACCCTTATAAAGCTCTTCCTCTGCTGTACTAGGACTGGGTAGGCTCGAATGCTTCTGCAACGCGGTGAGTTCCGTGTGCAGCGTTTTTGCCCCGAGAGGTGTCGCTTGCATGGTAGATTGTTGTGGGGCTACATCTCAGTTCAGCCTTAGCTGTGCGCCTCTAAATGGTATGGAATACGTAGTAAAGTCATGGGCCTACTAGAGTAGCTATACCAATACAACTCAAGTTCTGCTTGTGTTGAAGGGTGAGTAGTCAAATCCAGTACATTTCAGTGCATCCGTGAATCGCCGCTTAGTGAAACTCCACAACCTGACGTCGACAGTGCTCTACAAAGTTCCCAATAAACATGCGAGCGACAATAGAAAGCTCTACTTCATTTCTGATCCTCCCCACTTGATAAAGACGGTTCACCCAGTCGCGACTAGGCAACACGGAGTGTCCCGCGTCGGAGGTGTTAATTACGTAAGTATCCAATCCTGTTCCGCTATATTATCTATGGTATAACTATGGAACGCCGTTTCCGCCAAAAGTAAGGGCTCTCCGCTTGTCAAAAATCGATTTCCAAATCGACGATTCTTGGTCAAAAATCTATTTCACAATCGATCACGTACTCGATTTTTGGTCAAAAATCTATCTCAAAATCGATCTTTTACTCGATTTTGGGGGGGAAAATCGTTCTCTAAATCGATCTTTTACTCGATTTTCTTGGTAATTCGTCTGTTTACTCGCGTTAGCTTCAAGAAGCGCGTGTTTTGACGTAAACGGTCCTAAAGACGTCATATCCGTAGTATCCGAAGCTTCTAGTGGGTGATGCCCAGCCCACTACAATCTGCGGACTAAGGATGCAAATGACGTTGATTGGCCATTCTGCGATCTGATTGGAGATCGAGATCTAAGACTGAGACAAACGCGTGCCCCGCGGGAAAAGGGGTGCGTTCACACGAAGTCGAGACACCAATCAGATCACAGACCGTCCAAATAAATCAATTTCGCGTGCATCCGTAGTCCACGGCATTTTGTTGCGGCATCACACACCGAAGAGTGTTTCGCGAGATTGATTACGAAATCGATTAGAGCAAAAAATAGACTGAAAGATCGATTTAGAGAACGATTTCCCCCCCAAAAATCGAGTAAAAGATCGATTTGGAGATATATTTTTGACCAAAACTCGCTATTCAGAAGCAAGAGAAAGATTCGGATATAAGCGCTAACAAATCTTCCTCGTGTTTATTTTGCAGCGCATAATTTCGAGGCTGGTGCAACGCCCCATGTCCGGAGTTACCTCCGCGTCCGGAGTTAGCTACCCCCATTTACCTTACGTGATCGTAAAATCGATTTTTGACCAAAAATCGTGTATATACGTTGAAAATCGATTTTTGCGGGCCCTTACTTTTGGCGTTCCATATACAGTGGGTCCCGGTTAATATCATATATACCCGCGATGCATCCAAAAAATATGCTGGATATTCTATAATGCGGGCGCGTATATATGTATACTGTGTATAATTATTGTGAACTAGATAGCGCACAATGCAGTTTGTTAGCTAAGCTAATGAAGCTATATACTGTTTACATAAGCTAATGCAGCCAGGTGGAGAATGGAGAGTTGCAAAACTCCAGCCCAAGGTTGTAATTATGCATGCGCAATAATGACAATATGCGGGCAAAAACCAAATTGCTCAATATTTCTATGATAATAGGCGGGATATGACATTATCCATATTGTATGTATTCTATAAAACGGAGTAAAATGTATGGGAAATAGTTTTGGATTTCAGGTTTGTATGATTAGAAACGGGATATTCATCATCACTGAAAAGACAAGCTTCTCTGTCGTGAGGACTTTCGACGGCCGGGCGTTCTGTCTGTCTGCCTCTTGGAACAGAAGCAGTATCGTTGCCTTGCCCGCTCTCGATCTCGTAATCGCCCCGGAAAAAGACGAGCCTCTCTGTTGTGAGGACTTTCGACGGCCGGGCGTTCTGTCTGTCTACCTCTTCGACTATAACCAGTATCGTTGCTCTCGATCTCGTAATCAAAAGACGAGCCTCTCTGTCGCGAGGACTTTCGACGGCCGGGCATACATATATAGAAAATTCGACCCGAAGACACGATTCTCTGTCTGTTTTTCTTCGACGAAGAACACTATCCTCCGCGGATGAATCTCGAAGCCAACTGGACGGACTGTATACTAGTGGAAATGCTTGGCATTCTTTGGGCGAGCGGAGCGAGAACTCAAGTATATATGTTAATATAGCTACGTACCTACCGGTAAAATGTTTCAGCAAGTAACAGAAGTTATTATGGTGTTGTCATATAAGGTTGAGTAAGGCAGCTTGCGCATACGTAGCTAGTGAAACTAGACCAGAAGAAAGTAGCAACGGAAAGGCAATGTGCCCGCTCCCCATCTCCATCTCTTAATCGTCTTTGAAAAGACAAGCCTCTCTGTCGTGAGGACTTTCGACGGCCGGGCGTTCTGTCTGTCTGCCTCTTGGAACAGAAGCAGTATCGTTGCTTTGCCCGCTCTCGATCTCGTAATCATCTCTGAAAAAGACGAGCCTCTCTGTCGTGAGGACTTTCGACGGGCGGGCATACATAGATCGAAAATTCGAGCCGAAGACACGACTCTCTGTCTGTTTTTCTTCGACGAACAACACTATCCTCCGCGGATTCCTTCGAAGCCAACTGGACGGAAAAAATTCCGCACAGGATGTCGTATAATAAGAAACGCGTAATATTAACGCATGCGCACTAAGACGACGACGGTGCGTCGTATAATTAACCCTCGGCGCGCATCCGCAGTGAGGGTGACGGTAGTCGTTCTATGTGTCTGTCTGTCTGTCTGTCTGTCTGTCTGTCTGTTAACACGTTTTCTGCCACCACGTGCAACAAACAGGCCAAAGAGCGACACCAACGGGTTCAGCGCTACACTGGCTTCATTTTATAACTGGCGATTTTCGTAAAAGTACCGCGTTCAAAAGTTATGGCGTGAAAAGCAAGTGAACAAGCCAATATACAAATTAGCACGGGCTTACCTCGACAAGATGTGCTTGATCTGTGTGCGCAAGACGTCACAACGAAGGGCGTGTATCGACTCCCGCATGCTATCTATATACTACTGTAGCTAGCCCGTGTCAGACTCTCCGTGTGCTACTAGCGGGAGACCACGAGTAAACGCATACTACGGCCCAGCCCATCAATTAACGGTATCACAGTTCGCCGAGGGTTTGCACTTCAGATTAAACCTCGGCGCGCATGCGCAGCGAGGGTGACGGTAGTTGTTTCGTAAGTGTGTCTGTCAGTCTGTCAGTCTGTCTGTTACCACGTTTTCTGCCACCGCGCGCACGAATTCAGGTAAATAGCGATATGATCGGGTTCAGTGCTACACTGGGTTTATTTTTAAAAAACGCGATTTTCGTAAAACTACTGCGTTCTAAAGTTATGGCGTGAAAACCAAGTGAACAAGCCAATAATTATGGTAATGAAAAAGCACTGAAGTGCAAACCCTCGGCGAACTGCGCTTGCGCTGATACCGCTAATTGATGGGCCGGGCTGGGCCGTAGTATGCGTTTACTCGTGGTCTCCCGCTAGTCGCACACGGAGAGTCTGTAGTAGATAGCATGCGGGAGTCGATACACGCCATTCGTTGTGACGTCTTGCGCCTCCAAGGTACGCAGATCAAGCACATCTTGTCGAGGTAAGCCCGTGCTAATTTGCATATTGGCTTGTTCACTTGTTTTTCACGCCATAACTTTTGAACGCGGTACTTTTACGAAAATCGCCATTTTTAAAATGTAGCTAGTGTAGCGGCTGAACCTGTTGGTGTCGCGTTTTGGCCTGTTTGTTGCGCGTGGTGGCAGAAAACGTGGTAACAGACAGACAGACAGACAGACACACAGAACGACTACCGTAACCCTCGCTGCGCATGCGCACCGAGGGTTAATTAGCACAGGCTTACCTCGACCGCTTCCGCTCGCTCTGTGTATGTTGAAGGCACAAGAAGCCACAACGAAGGGCATGTATCAACTCCCGCACGCAATCTACCTAGCCCGTGCCAGACTCTCCGCGAGCTACTAGCGGGATACAACGAGTAAAGAAAAGAAAAACCCAGCCCATCAATTAGTCACATGCGCAGTTCGCCGAGGGTTTGCACTTAGTGCTTTTCATGCTTTGCAAAATAATTATTATAGAGATTGAATTTTGGGATTTTTCAACATTTTGGTCCATTACTCGCCCATACTATATGCTGTGCACATGAGAAACATATCAAAATGATCAGCAATCTGTTCTGATCAAAGTGATCAAATTAACCCTCGGCAGCGAGGGTTACAGTAGTTGCTTTGTCTGTGTGTGTGTGTGTCGACGCTTTTTCTGGCACTACAAGCAACAGTGACCTTTCTAGTGGAGCAAATCAAAGTGATGACAACATATCTAGCTGGTCTGAGTAGGAGTTTGTTAGCGTTATGTGGGTCTAGCTTCCTGGCTGTTTGTCGAGACAACAAGACAGTGTCTCCCTCACGAAAGCCCCAGGTAGCTAAAGGTGTTTCCATAGTTTTAGGTGTTCTGCCGCAGTTGTTATAATTATAGGTGGCACAAGATCTCTCAACTCTGAAAATCTTGTGAGTTTGGTTTCTGCACCTTGGAGATTAACAGACTGTGCCACTTCCAGAATGGAGCAATGAAGCAAGTTACGGATTTGTGTCGTACAAAAGGGCTAAACTTAGTAAAGATGGAAGTAAAACGAAAAGCACTGAAGTGCAAACCCTCGGTGCAGAAACACGGTGCAAAATACAGTAGCTACTTCACCCACAATTGTAAAAACAAAATGAGGATAGCTAGACATAAAAAGTGATGTGATTTGAAGCCAACAAAAATATAACTCGCAGTAGCTATCTGATGGCAGTGTGCTTGTCGAAGAGCCGCTAGGCAAAAGTAGTGGAGTGTGAGTCTCCAAGTTTACTTCTACTGCATCCGCATGCGCGTAGTATCACAAAATGGCGGACATGGCCGCAATAAAAAAAACACGCTCTAACTTTTTAGTTATGAATCCGTGCAGTTAGGGAGTTTATGTAGAGTTAGTCACAAGTGTGCTAGGATGGCCAGCTATTAAACGCCGTCAGGTCGGCTTAAAACAGTTTCCATATTCATTCACTGAAGGGATCTCAGTAGTCACAGGATCAGTACGAGACTGGGTGTAGAGAAGAGGTTGGTAACCATAAATACGAGTTAAGAACTGGATGCAGACACTGCGTTCATCCCAAAAGTCCTTTTTCTTGGATATGTTTGATTTGCATCCAGCACAGTGGAAATCAGAATTTGTAGGAACCTGCAAATTAAAAGACAGATGTCATAATGAAGGGTTATTTAAACATGAAAAAAAGAAAAAGAACTGAAGTGCAAGCCCTCGGCGAACTGCATGTGAGCGATGGCGCTTATTGATGGCTGGGCTATTAGTAATTCGCGGTCTCCTGCTAGTAGCTCGCAGATAGCCTGTTCTGACTGGATGGACGTTTAGATCTTGACATTACTTTCAATGGTATCACAACGTGCACACCTATCTACATCAAGGTCAAGGCAGCAGATAAGCTGTTGCTGGGGGAGGGTGTGTGTTGCCAGCAAATAATAATCACGCATCACTCCTCGGTATCCAGTAAGAAGACTTGAAAGGAGAACAGGATTCCACCAATGCCAAATTTCAAGCCTCCAAATGTTGGTGAGGAGGCAGAAGTCTCCAGCAGCAGACCAAAAGGATCTGCAATTCCTGTGGAGAGTAAGGACTATCAGAACTTGTAAAATACAAGAGGACACAACAGAAGCCTGAAGTGAAGTGTCATCAACGTGTACTGGTCTGGTACTCAAGCACCACCGCCGACTGACGCCATGCCAGAAAGTGAGAAGGTGGGACAGCAAACTGGACAACCCTCCAACACGGTACAAGACTCTCCAGACGTTGAACACCTACGGCTCAGACAGACTGGGACCAGACTGGTGAGGGTTCTACGTCCCCGACGACTGTCTCCTGCGAAACTGAGACCCCTTGAGAAAATGGAGACGATGCAATTGTACCGATGGTCCGTGTCAGGTTTGTTACGTCTGTACAAGTACACCTCCTTATCAGTCTGTGATGGCCCAAGTTGCCCCTGAAGCTTACCCAGGCCGCTCCTTCTCCAGTACCGACAGGATGTGGAAGACTCTTTGCATCCGTGCTGAGGATGTCATGATCGATCGCACTAGAGATGAAACCTGCCTAATTGCCGAGTGCATTAGCGCGAGGCTACTACTCCGGGTTGTATTCTCGCGATATGCGTATGTATGTACGTACGTGTCGGTCACGCTTAAGAATGTCAATTAGTCACGCTTAGGGAATGTCAATTAGTCGCACTTAGGAATGTCAATTTCTGCCGTGCGTGCAGATTCGTAGGAAGTCTGGCTTTGCGCGCAGTCAGTAGATCGAGCGTGCGCACGAGCGGACTCAGTCGGACTGTTTACGCATTGGCTGGCAGGCGCGAGGCAAAATATGCGCGTGCGCATTCCTAGTCCTACTATCGAACTCAACTGGATTTACACATCATCTGGAGAGTACCTTGGCGGCGCCATCCCAGCTACGGTTGTTGAATCACCCTGCAAGAACCTTCACCGTGACAATCCATGCAGAAGAGGAGGCACACGAAGATGAGAGTGAACGCAAAGAGAAACTCTTGGAGCTGCTACAACAAGCGGACACTGCTCGAATTATACCACAACGTCTTCAGCTTGGAGGATGGTGAGAGAGTATTTTAAAGAAAAGTGCCTGAGGCTATTTGTTGTTGTCTACAAACATGTATTGTTGTGTCTTTGATGTTGGTTATTGAAATACATTATGCATACAAAGTTTCGATTGCATAGCTCTTACCATTTGTTACTTACACTGACACATGTGTCCCCATTTAATGTATTGCCTGGGGCTATTTGTTGTTAACCTTCGGCATGCATGCGCAGCGAGGTGTTTGTCCGTCTGTCTGTCTGTCTGTCTGCCCGTCTGTCAGTGCGAGTTCTCGCACTATAGGCTACGAGGCGGCCAATGAGGGGCACCAACGACTTTTGAGCAACGAGAACATTGATATTAATGTGGCAATTTTCCTGAAACGACTGCATCCCATAGATATGGCGTGAGAACAAGTGAAAAAGCCAACGTGTGATCGATTGCGCTTGCGCCATCGCCGGCAGGCTACGCTGGCGCGCACGCGTCATGTTAGGAGCATGCGCATACGCCACGCGGTTGCATAGGATACGACAGCCGGGCAGGCTTGAGTGTCCCTCCTGTGTCCTCTGTTCTCTTCGTTCCCAATGGATAAGAAGCTGAGAAAGGTATGTCCGCAATGTAGCATAACAGTTCACATGAGACAAGCAGTTTGTGGATGCGGCCATGCCTTCCATCTAAACGTTAAAAGGCAGTATGTCGCAAGCATTGAAACACAGACGAGCAGATAGATTGAATAAAGCAAATGTGAGAGCCTCTGAGACACCTGAGCAATTGCTGTAACTGCTAAGCCCTCTGATGCAACTATCCTGTGTTGCGGGGAGACTCTACTGGCCCCGTCGACGACACATGGCCCAGCATACAGCAACGCTACAACGGGCGCGTTTTGTGCCGAGGGTTTGCACTTTAGTGCTTTTCATTGTTTACAGTAAACAACAAAAAAAGTATGACCATAAACATCTGGTTATGGATATCTACGATTTCATGACTTTTAGTTATGGGTGTTGAATCTGAAGAAGATGAAAAACTTTGCCAATCATAATAGCCCCATAATTATTATGCTAGGTACTATGCCCATCCCTTATACTAAGTATATACCGTACTTGGTGATAACTGATTCTGAGCATGCGCACTAACACTTCACCTATTCATTGTACTGAGCAATTAAAGTCGGTTCTCGGCCATCGAGTGGGTGTAAGAATTCTACAGCTACATAATTCAAACTGACAATAATAATATTATACGTAAGTGCAGCTATGACTCATTTTCCATTACACAGGTTTTCCCCTCAGTCTCCGTTAAAGAGCATAAGATAATGATTATCAGTGGCTTGCACAATGAGATACTTTGTACGTGTGGTATTTACCCTCGGCGCGCATGCAGTAGTTGGGTCTGTCTGTCTGTGTGTGTGTCTGTCTGTCTGTTACTCTTCATCTCGTTCTTTCGTCTCACAAGGCATACCACCTACGTCCGGGCAATGACGGTCTGAACTTCGAACGGTTTTTCTCTCTGAACTGCTCCTATGCAAGCTATGAGCGCGAAAAAGCCATATGCAAATAACACAACTGACGGAAGGCTTACCTATGACCCTACCGGGGTATGGTCACCCACGTGCTCTCTCTCTGCGTCAACTTCGGATCGGCACTAGAAGATGCAACGCAGAGGCATTGTATCGCCTCGCCCATGCAATCTAGTAGATGTAGTTAGCTGGCGTCAGACTCTGCGCGAGCTGGCAAGAGACACGAGTAACAGCTTCTCCTCAGGGTTTGCACTTCAGTGCTTTTAACAAATATATGAGCTGGTACGTGCCGTATATGTATATGTACACAGATTATTAACACTTACCAGCCACCGACACATTAGTGGTCCCGAGCCTCCTAAGTCCTATAGAATTATTGAATGTTGATCGAGTTAACGCAGTTACGCCGGGCAGACGGGCAGGCCTGGGCATGCCTTGCGCATGCCCGCGCTCCTGCGTCGCAAGCGTCATGAATATAACGGCGATCCGAATATCGGCAGTCCGCAGATGTCGCAGGCAAGCGAGCTGTCAGCTTCGATCGTCCTTCACTGAGCAACACCATGACCGATACAGGAGGCACGTCTCTCCGGGCGATGGAGCCTCGCTGACCCAGAGAACTCGCCTGCTACAGGCCACACGCTGGCGTCGCCGGCTACGCGACACCCGCGACGACCCCGGAACCAACTGATACCGGGGAGTGACCATCGTCGTTGCGGGTGGTGGTTGTCTGTGTTGTGCCGTCGCACAGGCCGCGTGCGCCCCAACAGTAACAGGGCTCGCCACGCCATGGGCTAGGCTTGTTCGGGCCCGCGGCCCTCTGCGGTCTGCTCGCCACCGCAACTCGGTGCTTTCCCCGTCCTCAACAGGGTACACACACAGGCTGCCGGAGGACGGCGCTCCTCCCGCTTCGAGCGACCCCCCTACTCTCCCCAGCTTTCGACCGGGTGGGGTTGTGGGTGGTGGGGTAGCGCGTACCGTCACAGGCCTGAGAATCTTCTGCGCCACAGCGCGCAGCGACAGCCAAAGGAGAAACATACGGACCGTCAGGCACTGTTGCCTCTACTGACTCTCAGCCTGGGCATTCAACCTCACAGCCAGCAGCGCTCTCTGCGAAGAGGCGCCGAGACGATTCTGATCTCGAGTCGTGGAGATGTCGATGGTTACGTCGACAACGTCCTGCCCCAGCATGGTCCCGGCCATCCTCCACCCCGCCTTCCATCTCCGATATCTCGCATCAGTTGCGCGGTATTCTGATGGCAGCCGTTCTGTGCTCTAAGTACCACCGTCAAGGCGGGGCGAGCTCTTCGCCTACAGGCGTCGATCATCCACGCGAGAGAATTACGAAGAAAACGATGGGTGTGGCCTACGACCGCCGCCAGTACCGCACGCAGGACAGGCCTGAACTGCTGTCGGTGACAGATCCCCGCCTCGTACACCAAGGCCTTCACGGCCGGGCCGTCTATCGCTAGGTGCTCTGTCTCTTTCTCCTGCCGCCAGGACGATCCATGGCAGCAGGCCAGATGCCGCGCAATCCACACCGACCATCTTCGGGTGGTTCCCGACCAGTCGCGTGGACGCACTAACAGTCACATTCGTCTCTTCATCTCAACGCAAGTCCGCCCTGTGCATCCGGTGAGATATTATGCCGGCGGTTCAACGATGTCGCTGTCGGGTCGCCCGCTGCCGCATACACCACGACCCGTCTAAAGTAAGCTGGATAGAAGTGGGTAGGAGCGCGTAGAGGTGACCCTGATTAGGTCGTTTCGATCTTTCATACTTACTTTTGGGATCAGGAGGCAGACGATGTGCTGGGCAGCTCGAGTTATGTAGGGTCTGGTCTCGTTGCGCCAATTGGTCACCCTCGGAGCAGGTCGATTGGGGTGCTTGTCGTTTTCTTGTATGTCTCTCCTATGGTCATCCAAGCGCGGTCGCCTAACACATTTCTAGACCCGCCAGGATTTCTTGATCTCGTTATGAGTCTTCCTTCGGCTAATTTCTCCCTAGGTCTGTAGACGTGGTGAAGTTGAGCTGCCCTCGCGACCCGCTAGATCGCCTCCCCGTGTGATGTCTCGCACCATGGAAGTCGACCACCACCACCGATCGCTATCATTCCACCCTGGACATGTTGCTGACACTGTTGCGTCCACTTGTGTTGTTCCCTGTCACCGTGGCTATCGTTTTTCACACATATTATTATCATATTCGCCTCACGGCCACTCACTACTCACATGGCGCCGCGCGGCTGGCGATGGGTCGGCTCCCTCGCCTTCTCGCCACAGCGCACGCACGGAGCCTCTGATTCATTCTGCCGCTGTGCGCGGGTGCGCGCGCTCTCCCGCGCCGTCCATGCTCTCTCCTGCCGCTAGCGCTCTGTTCGTGAAGCTCGCACGACCTTGTGCCAGCTAGGCCTGCGCCTTCTCGCTAAGGTGGATATCGCGTCGCACTATCGACTATCATCCCGGTTCACACACCCGGACGACCGTCCGCCTCCGTTATGGAGTGGGAGAACCACAACTAGACACTCGACCCTAGCTGCTGCCATTTTCGGCTGCGGTCCGCAGCCGAAGATTTTCATGCGGTGGCCGCCGCCCTCGCGTGGTACATGAACCAGACGGCATCACCATTCTCAGGCACTACTCGACGTATTTCATAATCGTAGGGCGACCCCGTAAACATACGTGCTAGGAAGTAGTGCCAGGATCACTGGCTACACTGGACGAGTGTGCACAGGCACTCAGCGTCCCATTGCTGAACCAACCAAAAGAAATGGACAATGCCGCCCGACAATCTCGCGTCACCTACTTGGGGATAGAGGTGGGAGACACAGAGGTGCAGCTATGCTCCCTGGGGACACACTCAAACGTATGAAGAGCCCTCCTACACGAGTAGAGGCCCAGGCGCCACTTGCACAGGAAGGAACTTGAGTCACTCCCCTCTACTCCCGTCATTCCCCGCCCTGCCAATTCGGCTCTCACATGAGAGTTCCAAGCGGACCTCCACTGTGGAACCTATTTTTTGAGAAGTGGAATGGCGTTCTCCTTTCTCCTCCACCTGACCCACCTGCCCAGGTTCAGGGCATGTGACCGTCGGATGCGTTCGGGCTCCTGGGGTTGTGAGCTCGCGATGGTCACGTGTTTCAGGTGCAATGTGACGACAGTCGCAGCCTCTCACAACTTGCTGAGAAAGCAGCTATCGTCCTCAGTGCACGCCTGGGCCCAGAGCTGTCTGGCCACCGGGTGGAGTGCTTCTGCGACAACCAGGTCTGTAATATCGTGTATCGTCCGCGGCAAGCCGGCACACGGGCTCATGCACTGCTTTGCTGCCTGGTATATGTGTGAAGCCAGGTTTATTGTTTGCCATCGTGCCTTCTACATAAACACGAAAGCAAACGTCTGCTGATGAGATCTCCGTACGTACAACTGGCCTCTTTTCTCTCGCAGGGACCGAGGCAGATCCCACCAACACAGGTCTTGGCCCAGCTGCTGGACCTTCTCTAGAGCTACAAGCTGACTGCGACCCATCGATCTGGCATACCCTCGTTCAGGAGGGCTATTTTTCAAACGAGGTCTCTCCGCTCTATCCAGTCCACTTACAGGGCCGCCTTGCGTTTACCACACATTTCGCATCGCAAGTACGACATTGCAACCCATTTCCCGTCACGAGCAGCTCCTGTGCTATTTCTCGATCACTGGCGACCTGACTTTCCCCACAGACAGGGAGGTCCTACCTGGCGGCGTGCGGAGCATGCAGATCTCACTGGCTGCAGACCCAGAGACATCATCAATGCCACTGTTGACAGAGAGTGCAGGCTTGGCATCCGTAGGGTCGGGTGGAGCGTGTGGGTCAGGGTGGAGTGAGGCACCCGGCAGGCTCGGGTTAGGTTGCCATTACACTGGGGTTCTCGGAAGGTTGCAAGTGCCGCTAAACAATGTCTGCACGTCATCTGAAGTCCTCATTCACACCTCACCAGCACTCCTATGGGCCATCTCCACCCTAGCATTCTTCGAGTCTCCGCTGGGTGAGCTGCTACCTGAAAAGCTCGTCATTCGACCCCACATCCCAGCTCGTCTGGGGCGGATGTGGCAGTGGATCAACCTCCAGCTCCTCGAATGGTCCAAGTCCACCGGAAGCGGTCACATGTGACCAGTCGCGGCTCCAGTGCGGACATAGTGGGTGGTCGGACCGATGCCAACATTTGCCCAGTACAGGCGATCGTGGACTAGGTCGCGAAAAGGTGTGATCAAGCCAGGCCGCCTTCTTCATGATCACCCTAAGTCAGCCCGTCAACGAATCCTGGTTTGTTCCAGTTCCGGGCCATTCTGTCGGCAGTTGGGCTGCCTCAATTCGAAATATGCAGGTCCACAATTTCCACATAGTGCGGCAACGACGGCGGCTCTCGTTGGGATGGAAGACTCAACCATCCAGGCCCTGGGCCGGTGCCATAGCACCGCCTTCCTACAGTACATCCGGATGGCCAAGCATAAATTGGCTGCAATGCCCTGGCTCGTAGCCAGGCACCATCGTTGTGATACTCCAGTCACACTCTAACAGCTCTGTAAATTCCTCCTGCACGCATACTAGTTCTCCTTGTTGTGTAAAATTATAACATCCATTTTGGGGTGTGATGTCCACCCCCTTGCGCAGGGCAATGGATCGGACATCTCCTTTGGCGGGATTCGGTCCTCTACTCCGGGACCCTCATTACAGGGGCCCCCAAAACAGTGAAGTTGCATATCGCTGGCACGTGACCTGGCCGGGGCGAGGCATGACCGCGGAAGTTCCGGGGCTGTGCCCATTTAATTGGCGAGCAGGAGCGAGCCGTTCGTTCGAGCGGAATTTTCGGTATATATACGACAGACCGTCTCGTACGTCATGTAAGTGCGCATGCGCGGCTTTGTACGTGCTTCTTTTTATCAGAAATTATTTCCAAAATTTTACACAGGGTGCCTCACGATATGCTCTAGCCAGCGAGAGAACTCTCCTCCATTCGACGGAATGCGCTGGAACCTTCGGTGACTGACCGAGGCTGTACCTTTTTCCAATCTTCATGGTTCCAAGGTGCAACTTGCAAATACGCTAGGATTGCTCGTGCACGTACTGCTGCACGTTCTGCTCACCTGCTCACCGTTCTGCCAATGTACAATACGTATGTAACGGCGACAGGTAGATCTTTCTTGCTTCACGAAAAGAAACCTTTGCGCTGACAGCACGAACATCGCGGGCAAATCTTAAGTTGGGTCGCTCCCGCTCGCCAACAATGTTCAACATTTCCCCTAGTTAGCATACATATTAGCCAATGCTCCGAGATCACGTGCCAGGGCGAAGAGTTGGAGGTGCCTCCAGCCCCGGCACCTCCCAAATGCTAGAGCAAGGGGCATGGTAGGCCCCTTGCGTATCACTTACGAGGACGACTAGAGTTAAATGATGTTCAACAGCAGTTAACGCAGGGAGGACGGCCAGCCGGGGGCCACGGAGTAGAGGACCGAATCCAGCCGGCCGGATCCAGCCAGCCGGGGCCAGCATTGCGCATGCCCGCGCGCGCGTCGCCACGGATGCGCATACGTGAGCGTATGAATAATGACGGTGAATCCGAATATCGGGCAGTCCGCAGATTTCGCACACAAGCGAGCTGTCAGCTTTCCCACTGTCCCACCCGTAGTCAAGTAGGTACACCTCCACCGTTGGCTGCCCAACGGTGTGACGCCGGGCTGGATTCGGTCCTCTACTCCGGGGCCCTCATTACAGGGGCCCCCAAAACAGTGGAGTTGCATATCGCTGGCACGTGACCTGGCTGGGGCGGGGTATGACCGCGGAAGGTCCGGGGCTGCACCCATTTAATTAGCTACATATTAGCCAATGCCCCGAGATCACGTGCCAGGGCGAAGAGTTCGAGGTGCCTCCAGCCCGGCACCTCCCAAATGCTAGAGCAAGTGGCGTGGTATATAGGCCCCTTGCGTATCACTTACGAGGACGACTAGAGTTAAATGGGGTTTATAATACTAGGCGCTAATACGTTATACATCAATTTCTGCTTATTTAAGGAGATCCCCATGGCGTCCAAAGGGTTAAAAAAAGGTTTACACAGACCTTCATGGGTGGTTTTCTGGAGAGATGTGCAGCAAGGAAGTTCATGGCAATGTCTTCACAGTCCATGATGTTGTCCACCCTCTCCCTCACTTCTTTTGGCATCAAGTAGGAATACAGGTACATATAGGTCTAGGAGGCAAGCAAAACTAATTTCTTAGTGACTCTGTGTTAGGGATGGCTTGAAGCAGCAAAAAGGAAGAAACAAGGGGTCATTACACAGCAAAGATGCACCAAGCTGCTGTGTAATGACCCCTTGTTTCTTCCTTTTTGGTGCTTCAAGCCTAGTGGCAGAGTAACTGTATTTGATACCACTGTTTATAGGTAATTAACCATCGGCTCAGCGAGGGTTATAGTACCATTCCGTCTGTCTGCTGTCCGTCTGTCTCCCTGTTACGCGCACAGCAAAATGCCCAAAAACGATGGGTTGGGTTCAGTGCGACACTGACTTTATATTAAAAATAGCAATTTTGGTAAAAATGCTGCATTCGAAAGTTACGGCAAGAAGACCAAGTGAACAAGCCAATATGCTGATTAGCACAGGCTTAGCTTGACCGGGTTCGCTCTCTGTATATACCTTCAAGTCACAAGAAGTCACAACGGAGGGCGTGTATCGACTCACGCATGCTATCGACTGGCTGTCAGACTCTCCGCGAGCTAGCTACCAGTGGGAGACCACGAGTAAACACATACTAATAGTCTCGCCCATCAATTAGCAGTATTGCGCATGTGCAGTTCGCTGAGGGTTTGCACTTTTCATTAATATAGATAATTTATCCAGAAAATTATCTGCAAAAGCCGATTATTGTATATTGCCACCAAACATGAAAGGAGAAAGTGTTCTAAATTTACCATAAAGCGCACTTTACACAATGAACTAACTTCTATATTATATAAATCCCTTTCAGCTCCATTCCAAAATAATGTCAAACTTTTCAACTAAATTGGGTTCATAGAGTAGCTGGAGGATACGCGGAGCCGTTTTCCTTCATCACGAAATGACACACCATTAGCATACTAGCTCTACAGCTTCACATCTTGACTATCGAGCAAGTCAGCAGGGTACGCACGTAAACGTAGTGAATTATCCATGGCAGGAACACGTAAAACACACTCGATTTTTAGCCAAGGTGTCAAAATTCTTACGTGCCCACTCAGTAGTGTTCAGTATTAGTGGGAATCACAGCTCTCTCCAAGGAGCTGGGAGAAACAGGTGAAGCAAAACCAGCGCGGTCAGTTAGTAGTCCGCATTAGGATACGTGCATTCTTACACGGAGGTCATATCCACTCTGCCATACCAATGTCGAATTCGCTTGGGACAGGAATACCGAAGTCTACAGCCTGCTGCGATCTATAGTTCTCCATCGCGATCACTGTTCACGGCCGCCATTTTTCAGTCCACATTTGAAGAGCTCCGTATACTTACAATGAACCAGTTAAAGTACCCGTATTCACTCGTGCATTCCCGAAAATATTCTCGGCGCGCATGCGCTGCGAGGGTTACTGTACTTGTTTGGTAAGTTTGCCTGTCTCTCTGTCTGTTACCACGTTTTCTGCAACCACGCGCAACGAGACAACGAAAGAGCGATACCAACAGGTTCATCGCTACACTGGGTTCATTTTAAAAAAAAGACGATTTTCGTATAACTAAGGCGTTCAAAAGTTATGGCGTGAAAAGCAAGAATCCAATGTGCTAATGTATTCGCTTACTTCTAGGAAGCGAGAAATAAACGCATGCGTGCGTTACACTGGCGGGTTGCGTACAACGATCACGTGTTTTTCGCAGTAAATGCCACCTGAGCGGCCATGGTTTGAGGGCAGCGCTCGAGGATATTTCTTGTCGTTTCTGGTGCAAATACTTATTTGAGCTGGCAATCAGCACTCGTCTACATTCCGAGCATTGTAGGCAGAGGGGGGCTGACCGATGGAGAGCGCCTGAAGATGTCTGCAGTGTGACAAAACAGTACTCGGGGGCGTGGAACCACGCATGTGACACATAGCCCAAACCACATACGTGGTTCCACGCCGCTGAGGGTTTTGCTTTTCATTTAAATGTGCGGTTGTGGATGTCCCTAGGGAGGGAAGTAAACAGCTCATAATAATATACCTTGTGTATGAAGGTACAACCAGTAAGGCTCATGGAGAACTTGCAGTTAGTTTTTGCATAGTTCCACCTCTTGTCCTTGAAATTATACATGTGAGAGCGACCAAAAAACCCCACCATTCGTTCCCGATTTTCACACCAAACTCTGTGGATTAGACACAGAAGTGCAAAGCACAGTTATTACATACTGAGTGTCGGCAAGCTCATGCTGTATTGCTAAGAATGTACACACACATAACAAATACTCATCAAGGTGTCATGTGTATAGATAGGGGAGGCAAAGGGAGAGAGGGTGCTAAATTTAAGATGTGTTCACCAATCTCTTTTATGCACTTTCTTGCTCATGTGACATGTATGAGAAAGTGCAAACTTATATTGGCCCAATGCTTGTAGTAGCGTACTATCATCTATCCACAGTGTGTGTGCCGTAACACTGAAAGGTTCCCATAGTGGATCTCGGAAGTTTTCCAGAGTGAAAGTTGTGACGTGAGTGTTACGATCGTATGGGTTTTTCATGCCTGTTGTCCATAGGGTTAAATTTCAATCATTGCGCATGCGTGTTATATAGGCTTATACCACGGTAGTGCGTATTTTCAAAGGCGCCCCCCACAGTTTATTCAGTATATTGTGTGCAGAATAATTTAAATGTTAAATCTCATTAACATGGTATAAATCAGTTATACCATGCCTACTTCGGGTGTTTCCGCAAATACCCTCAGGAATGTGTGATAATCCCTCGGGCATTATTGACACATTCCTTTTGGTATTTGCTATAATGGTATAACTACTACACATTATATGTGGGAGTTCCACTCTGGTGCGTTAAGGCCAGTCCGCGAGCAGCAAACCGGAAGCTGGACGGAATCACGTAACCACGTCCCTGCAGTAACGTTTCATGGAAAATATACGGAATAACGCCATGTACGGACGTCATTTTACGAATATGCGCATGCGCGGAACGCGGACGGGTAGTAAGTTTTTCACAACTGTTTTCGCTTAGGCGGAAGGGTTCCGCTTAGTCTATAGCTACTTTTTAACGTTAAGAAAGACAAACGCAAAGTCCTCTGACTGTTTATCCAACGGGGAAGGTGAGCAACTTGACAGTTTTAGATGCAGGGCCCGTTTTTATCGTAAAACTGGGCGCGGTTTCGATATTTTAGTTCGTTATCGACGCGTTATTAGTTTTTTTCATTTCCCCCGTTGGATAAGATTTACTTTAGTATGTACTTGTATCTCTGAGCTCAAGATGAATTCTTAATTCGAAGTGTAAGCAATCCGCCTAAACGCATATACGAATTACATGTAAACAAACAAACAAATAATGTGGGCGTGGTCACAATTTGTTAAGGGATTAAGACCTATGAGTTTTATCACGTTACCAAGTTTGAAAGTAAAAGGTAATGTGACACTCTCAAAACAAACAAAAATATGAAATTTTCCATGATTTTGATGCACCCAGGCCTTAATGCACTAGAGCAGTGCTGGAAGAAAAATTTGCCGAATCCCTACAGCCCCTATCTAAGATGGTTGCTCTAAAACATTTTGGATTGTGTATGTGTCCGACAGTCAGGAGGTTTGTGGCCTTGCTTTATTGAAGTGGCGCATGAAGTGAGACCCAGAGCACACTGGAATGTGTCACCCAGTGTACTTGGAGAATCTGAGACAATAACACTAGCAAGGCCCTACATGAGCTAGAGGGAGCAATCTCCCTAATAATCAGGTACATGGGTATCGCAAGAAAATATATTCTCATAATTATTTGCGTATGGACAAGATGTAGGGATGGTGTCGTGTAGCTTTAGCTGTGAAATGACCCCTTGTTTATTACTTATTACTTTGCCATGCTTTGAGCCATCCCTACATCCCCCTTCATTTTGAAGAAATGATTTTTCCACTTGTTTCTGTTATTTTTATGAAAAGCTCTGAAAAACAATTGTTGTTGCTGGCGGTGGTTAGGCCAACTTTAGAGTATGGGGGGTGAGGTGTGGGAAGCCAATAAGACTCAGGCAGCTGCATTAGAGTCCGTTATGCTGGGAGGAGCTAAGCGCATTCTTGGGTGTTCGTCTAAGACATGTAATGAAGCCGTTAGGGGGGATATGGGGCTTGATGCGTTACAAGGGCGTAGGGATAAGAATAAGTTGAAGTGGTGGTATAAGTTAGCGGCATTGCCAGGCAATAGGTATCCGAAGAAGCTTTTTAATCAGGAATGGAATTTTAAGCCACGGAGAGGCAGGCAGAGGAAGGGTTGGAGTAAGGTCATTGATGATCTCTTTTCGTCATTAGGTCTTGACAAGGCAGAGTGGTTGCATGATATTCAAAATGGGGATTGCTCCTTGAAGGGCTTTTTGTCTATAATAGGGGACAGTATTAATGAGAGGGAGATTAGAAAGTTTGAAGAGGGGCTAAATAGCAAAGTAAAGCTGTTATTGTATAAGACATTTAACAAGGTGGTAGAGTTCAAAAAGTACTTGCATGGGAAAAGTGATGCTGGGTCTAGATTAATGTTTTAAGTTCAGGTCAGGCACGCATGGGCTAAATGAGGAACTGGGCAGGCATAGGGGGAGGGAGGGGGTGAAAGAGTGCCTGTTGTGTGATGATGAGTGTGAAAGTGTGAGTCATGTGTTGTGGGAGTGTCCAGCATATAGTAGTCTTAGGAGCAATTTCTTAGTTGCCTTGCAGGGGAAGCTTGGGGATGATGGGTTTGAGCATTTCCAGTCGCTTGATAGTTTCAGGAAAGCATCCTTTATATTGGGTAGTGAACTGTGGGAGGATAATTTTGGTTCTTTGCTTGGCCTTGTTAAAGATTTTATTTTGGATGTTTGGGAGCTAAGAAAGGTTAGGTTATACGGCGATAGTCCCTGTGTACAACAAACCCAGTCTCAGATTGCGTCTGGGGAGCTGCAGGGTGTCCCTGGTGGAAGGGGTGAGTTGAGGTGTCTGGGAGGTGAGACAGACACCTCATGTTCATATGGTGTATGTTCGTGTGTTAACGGTTCCGCCCATTGCTCTGGGTGCGTGGTCTATGGCCCTAGTGCTATGGCAGCCACCTGAGTATTATTATTATTATTATGAAAAGCTCTGACAAACAATAGAAAGTGTCTAGCAATGCATACGTGGCTCTCGAGAAGTTTCTCCCCAAGCAAACAATAAATCATAGTCTCCCGGAACCATCCCCATCTAAGGTATACTAGCTGGCTCTGCGCCAACGGAGGCGTAGCTACGTAGCTACCGCCGAGACCAAGGTTACACTACGCAACGCACATGCTGCGCATGCACATCATCAGGAAACGCCCCCTGAACTGCCGACTGCTGAGTTAGCAGCAAATGGCGTCGTTCATTGGAAGGGCTACAGGATCTACAGTAGCGATGTATTAAGTAAAAGTATGCCCACGCACTGTTCAGCTATGACCTAAATCTATTTCTAATCCACCTCCTGGAGTAGGATTGGTTAATCTGGATCGTGATCCTGACCGTACCGTTTACACACGTAATCCGTTGTATACAGCAGGTGCCATGCAAACTCTAATACACCAGTCATTACACCAAGCACATATACTTGCCTGAAACCAAATTCTATCTCCTCAGGAGCCATAAGGACATCATCGTCAAGTTGCAACACAGCTTCGGTCTCTATCTCCTTGTAGGGCAGAAACTTATTGTTCAAACTGTTACCTTTACCACGGACAACCTATGGAGAGGAGGGTGTGTGTTAATATCAAATTCCAAACACCTTTATATACTCACTAATAAAACTTTTCAGCAGAGCTCAAACTGTCTGAAAGCCGATGCTATTGCTAGCAACTAAGCATCCGTGAACTCCCTTCATAGCAGGACCATGCTGCCCCTTACACCAGCCTAAGATGTTGGAAGTTACATATCACCACTGCAATTTTTGGTGAGTCAGCAGCTTGTCTTCCGTAGAGACTGTATGGCAAAAACAAAGCTCTGCTGAACCAAAGCCAACCAAGTGTAACAAAACAAGGATTCCCTTTGCCTCACCAGACCGTCTGTCTCCTGATGTCTTGTAAACATTGTTCACACCGTTCACTGTAACTGGTTTGTCACCATGTCGAAGTTTCTATGCACGTGGGTGATTAAGTCATACTGCACACTTCACTGTGTTCCCAGTCCTCACAATATCAATTACCCTCTAACTGGGCTCTGTCGCGCAAGCTGACTTGACTTCGGCACCTCGGCAGGATTACAATTGGTGTAGTCGGCAAGATCTATGGCCGAAGAAGAAAGAGGGCGCGAGGGGGAACCGAGAGCCGATAATCGGGAAGGCTCGGCCGCAAGGGACGTACGAACGCCTGGCGCCGCAAGACCGCTAGTTCTGCCAGAGCCATTCGACGGGACGTCCAACTGGGATGACTGGACGTTTCATTTTGAGAATGTAGCCGCAGTGAATGGGTGGGATGACGCCGACAAGCTGAAGTGGCTCAGAGTCCGCCTGACTGGACGCGCACAAAAGGCTCTACACCGACTCCCAGAGACGGCTACGGCGACATACGCGGCAATGAAGGCTCGTTTTGATCCGGAGAGCTGTCACACCCGCTACCTGGCTGAATTCCAGGCACGGAGGAAGAAAAGCTCGGGAGGTTGGGCTGACTTTGCCGACGACCTAAAAGCGCTAGCCTACCCGACACTCCAGGACGAGGCACGAGAGCAGTTAGCGATCAACACTTTTCTGCAGCAGTTGTCACCGCCTGAAGTTGCGTTCAGCGTGAAGCAGAAGCGCCCGAACACGTTGGACGATGCAGTGGCAGCGACGATAGAGCTGGAGTCGTATGTCAGCCCACCCCCGGCAAACGTATCCACCACGCAACCCGAGATGGCCTTCTCCCCCCGTAACCGACGATAGTCAACTGAAACAGCTGACGAGAGCTGTTGAACATCTCACTGGACAGGTTGAACACCTGAGAAATGCTGGTGCTCGCCCGCCCAGGAGGAGCAGCCGACAGCTCGTCCGTGTGGTGGGGGCAGTGGACGAGGGGCAGCCGACTGCTGTGGAGCCACGCAAACAGGAGATGCTCTGGAACCTCGTTGAGGGCACATCGCCAGACCTCAGTCCAAGTGAGAAAGACTTGTTCTATCACCTTTTGCTGTCTTATGCCGATGTAATAGCACACTCAAAGTCAGATTTGGGGAGAACAAGCATACTAAAACACCATATCTCTACAGGAAATGCCCCCCCCCATATTCGCCAAGCTGTCCGCCGCATCTCCCCACACAAGCGCCAGGAGGTCCAACAGTTGCTCAACCAAATGCTCAAAGGAGGAGTAGTCGAGCCTTCGACAAGTCCATGGGCGTCGCCAATCGTACTGGTTCAAAAGGAAGATGGATCTACTCGCTTTTGTGTGGACTACCGGAAGCTTAACAACGTCACCCGGAAGGACGCGTACCCAATTCCACGGATTGCTGCCACTCTTGACACCCTGCATGGATCCAAATGGGTTCACTACCCCAGATCTCCTGAGTGGCTACTGGCAAGTAGAAGTTGCAGAAACGGACCGCCCCAAGACCACCTTCTGCACAACAGAAGGACTCTATCAGTTCCGTGTGATGACGTTTGGATTATGCAATGCTCCAGCGACATTCCAGCGGCTAATGGATCTGATCCTAACTGGGCTACAATGGAAGGAATGCCTGGTCTATCTCGACGACGTAATTGTCTTGGGTCGGAGTTTCCAAGAGCACCTTTGCAACCTGCGTTCTATCTTTTAAAGACTACGTGAGGCAGGGCTACGACTAAAGCCGTCAAAGTGCTCGTTCTTGCAAAGTCAAGTGCAGTACTTGGGGCACGTGATTTCCCTTAGCGGCATCGCCACTGACCCAAAGAATACGGAGAAAGTTGCTTCCTGGCCCACACCAACCTCCAAAAGCGAGGTTCAACAATTTTTGGGATTCACTGGCTACTACCGTCGATTTGTCAAAGACTTTGCCTCTGTCGCCCGGCCTCTTCATCGCCTCACTGAGCGCAATACATATTGCCTCAACCTCCACCAGTTCTACCTCCTCCTCCGCCTCGCTACCTGCGACGGAACCAGGCTCTACCGGACCGCTATGGGCTGAGCATCTCCCACTGAATTCGGGACGAATTCTCTTGAGGAGGGGCGATCTGTGTAACAGAACAAGGATCCCCTTTGCCTCACCAGACCGTCTGTCTCCTGATGTCTTGTAAACATTGTTCACACCGTTTACTGTAACTGGTTTGTCACCATGTCGATCTTCTATGCACGTGGGTCATTCAGTATATATAGTCATACTGCACACTTCACTGTGTTCCCAGTCCTCACAATATCAATTACCCTCCAACTGGGCTCTGTCGCGCAAGCTGACTTGACTTCGGAACCTCGGCAGGATTACACAAGTATCGACATAGTTTTGTAGACAGGTAGGTCAATCCTAGGCAGAAGATACTGAAAAGCCGACAAACCCCTCTACCCCTGGATACCCAGCCAGCTACGTGGTCAATGAAAAGCAATGAAGTGCAAACCCTCGGCGAACTGCCCTGGGAACTCAAATGCCCCCAAGTAATCCCTTACCCCTACAGTAAACTATATAGCGACTGTGTGTGTACATCATGCGGGTGATAGGTATTAGTCTGACAGGGGAAATGGGAGGGTGGACTGCTCCAAAGGACGTCATTCTGAAGGTGGCAGACAAACTGACAGTGGCTGGGGAGCTGGAGCCTTGTTCGGAGTGGTTCGACTGCATCAAACCTCCTTGAACCTTCTTGAACAAATTCAGCGCGGAGAAAACAAAGTGTGTAGGGATCATTCACATGAGTTTTGTGTGTGTTCGACTGTACTGAACCGTCTCTACCAACAGATTCACAAGGGGAACGAGGTGTGTAGGGTACTTGTACTCTAGTTCAGAGTCATTCGGTGCAGTTCAACTGCATCGTACCTTCAGTGCGGAGAAAACAAAGTGTGTATGGGTCATTCACATGAGATCTGGGTGGTTCGACTGTATTGAACCTTCTCTATGAACATATTCGCAAGGGGAACGCGGTTATACTCTAGTTCGGAGTGGTTCGACTGCATCAAACCTCCTCAAACCTTCTTGAACAACTTCCGTGTGGAGAAAACAAAGTGGGTAGGGGTCAATTGCATGAGATCTGGATGGTTCGACTGCACTGAACTTTATCGACCTTCAAGTGAAATGGACTGACCTCTTCATGAAGTTGAGCGACCGCTACTAGTAAAGTAGACTGACCTCTTAGTAAAATGGACCGACCCCTTAGAAATGTAGACCGACCTCTAATAGTAAAGTGGACCGACCTCCTCATCGACTGCACGTGCGTATACAGGGAAGTGATTGGGCGCTTCCCAGGAAGTATCACTGGGTGGATCAATGAGTATAACATTTGAGCATTTTGACCTCTACCACCGACCCGCAGTAGACCACACGCATCAAGAAATGGATGGAGAGAAAACAAACGACTTGACTTGGTCAACGATTCATCATCCTTGAGGGCCTCAATTTCAGCAACGAACGTCTGTGCGAGGGAGACCCAATAGTTCTCTGAAACTACCAGCTCAGAAGTAGACAAGTAGAGTGAAGTGGCGCGATCTTCTTTCCTGCAACGGCAGTTGTCGATAAAACGACAAATCCAGGTAGTGAGGCGTTTAAGGCGTGTGAAGGATGAAAATCGTTCTAGAGGTATGACTGGAATTGGAGTGTCGGCGACAGAGTGTAGGCAAAACATCCCTTTCTTCTTCTATGGGCAACTCGACCGAGTGTGTATGTGACTGGGTAGGTCAATTAGTTGAAGACAATCGCAACCAATCAGGAGCATTCCACCACAGTCCATGGTTGACTAACTCGGAGGGGAAGAGGCCTCGCTGAAACACAGTCAGTGGGATTGTCTGGACTACTGACGTGGTTCCAGCGGCCAGGAGGTATGTATTGTATGATGTGAGAAATACAATTGGCGACGAAAGTCTTAAATCGACGAGGATTCCCGTTTAACCAATTGAGAACGATCGTGCTGTCTGTCCAGGCAAACACGTCTTCGGTGGGTATGTTCAACGCCCTTTGGGTGTGACGAAGAAGTTGCGCGAGTAACTTGGCTCCACACAGCTCGAGGCATGGGATGGTCAATCTCTTGATGGGAGCAACCTTGGTTTTGGAGATAATCAACGAGACGTAGACGTCATCATGTTTGCCCTGAGTGCGGAAGTAGACAACTCCTGCATAGGCGGCTTCAGAGGCATCGCAGAAACCATGAAGCTGGACAGAGGCGACGTCTGCATGCCTGGGATAGTAGCAACGTGGGATGTGATGATCGGCAAGTACGTGTAGTTCTGACCTCCACTTGAGCCATGACTGATGCAGAGCTTGAAGTAGTGAGTCATCCCAGGCAATCTTGGATTCCCACACTCTCTGGAGTAGGATATTTGCTTTGATTATTGAGGGTGAAAACCATCCGAGGACATCGTATGTCTTAGCGATGTCAGAGACGAGAGCGCGTTTGGTCATGCCGTCAGTGTGCTGGAGAGGAGAGACGGTTAGGCGGAAAGGATCGATGTTGGCGTTGCACTGAATGCCGAGTGCCTTTGTATATTCGTCTGGGTTAGGAATATCGTGTGTTGATTGGATGTCTCGGAGTTCTGGTTGGATGTGGCATAACACATTTGGGTCACTGGAGTTCCATTTCCTGAGAAGGAAGCCGCCCTTGACGAAGAGATCTAGTAGTTGGTGATGCAAGTCTATGGCTTCCTCAATGGAGTCGGAGCCAGTAAGACAATCGTCTACGTAAAATGCTGTTTCGACGGCTTTAGCAGTTTCTGGAAACTCCAAAGCGTGATCCATGGTGTTGCGTTTCACGGACATGTTGGCGGCGAAAGATGATGCTGATACACCGAACGTCACACGAGTCATTCGGTAGTCTTGAAGTTGTTCGTCTAGGTCACTTCGCCACACGAAGCGATGTAGGTCTCGATCAGATGCATCCAGCTCGACTGCCCGATACATCTTGCTTATGTCTGCAGTCAGTGCGATTCGATGAAGTGTGGAGCATGGGGTTTCTTTGGCAATGGGACAATAAATCTTCCATCTGGTGCACGGCGATGGCTCATCTCGAAGTGTTGCATGACAGACCTTTCTTCAGGTGAGAGATTTGTTTTGTGCTTCGTGTTCTCCTCGATTTCCCAAAATCTGCGTAATAGATCGTCGTCTGCGGTGACAAATGTGTGGTGAGATAGGGCAACGGGTTCTGAAGTAGACTGGTCGGTTGAACACGCTAGTACCCATCCAAACACAGTCTCGAATGCGACAGGAGTACCTGATGGTCCAACCCGCCGTCCGTGCAACAATGCTGCAGTGAATACGTCGACACCGAGGAGGATGTCAACTCTCCCAGGACACCCAAAGTCTGGATCTGCAAAAGGAATGTCGTAGAGATGGGTCCAAGAGGAGCTGAAGGCGATGGGATGAACTGGTAGATCGCACGTTACGCGTGGGACCACAATAGCCGTGACGTTGAACTTGCTATCGGCTCGAGTTGACGAAATTGTGACGTTGGTGAGTGCTTGACGAGAACTGCTGGATAGACCTGCCACGCCAGATATCGTAGTGTTCTGGTGCAGACGAGGGAGGCAGAGACTCTTGACTAAACGCTCCGAAACGAACGAGGCTGATGAGGCGGAATCTAGCAGAGCTCTGGCCGTTACGGTGGAACCATCTGGGGCTCCAACAAGAACCTTACAGGTCATTAGCAGTGAAGTTTGCCCTAAGCTGGCTGCTGTGTTGGACGAGACCTTAGAGTCAGGCTTAGGTAGCGGTGAAGGGGGTTTGTTCTATGTGGGTGGATTGTCGAGATGAAGGAGAGTATGGTGAGGTTTCTGGCATGTCTTACAATGATGCAATGACTTGCACTGTTTCACGAAATGACCGGGCCTGAGACAGTTGATACAATTTCCGTTTGACTTCAACGTGCTAATTTTCTGCTCATGAGACAGTAACTTGAAGCGCGGACATGCATAGAGGGGATGCCTTTCCGTTTTGCATGCGGTACAACTAGGCGACTCAGAAGCATTAGCGGCAAACGAGGTGACGGGTTTGTTATTGGAGGGAGGCTTCTTGTTCGAAGACGAAGGCAGAGATTCGGAGCTTGCTATAGTGAGGGACTATGCCGCTGCCACTCAAACATAGTGCTAGAGTCCAACTTCAGCTCTAGAACCGACGTGATGAAGGGACCCGGAGCTTCGCATCCCATGGCCTTCAGAGCACACAGATGCTGTTGGACGATGTCGTGGAGACGTCGCAACTCCTTCCCATTTCCTTCTTTGAGTGGAGGGGCCTCTAGAATCACGCGGACGTGAGCCTGGTGTATAAGATGAGGTCGATCGTATCGCAATTGCAAAGACTTAACGGCTTCAGAGTAATACTCACCGGAGCGCGAGAGACCTTCAATTGCTCCCTTTGCGGAACCGCCCTTGAGGGATTGCTGTAAATAGACCATTTTCTCCGAGTTGGAGAAGTGCGTGCGATCGTGTACTGATATTCTAAACTGCTCCCAAAAGGACCTCCAATTGAGTATATTCCCATCAAATGTGGGAACATCTAACTTAGGAAGCTTGAGCCCTTTGTTATCAGAGGTGGGAGTAGAAGCTTCAGAGATGCCAGATGCAGAGGACAATAATTTCTTTATTGTAACACAACAATCAAATTCCTGGCTCTCTAATGAGTCCTGGAGGTCGAAGTCATCGGGGAGTTCCATCCTGTGCAGGTCGTCGCGAGTCTTAACGAGATCTCTGTTGATATCGTCCGTCCGTTCCTCGTACTGACGGAGTAGACATGTGTCGGAGATGGTGGTGGATGCGTCGCAGACAACGGAAGTTATCGAGACGAGATACTTCTGAAGGTGAACTAGCTTCCGAGATGCAATTCTGCGAGAAGACTCGTTTGACGAAGGCGACGAAATAGCTATGACTTCCTTCACGCGAACCGTGAGTTCGGCCACGAGGTCGTCGTGAGAATCGAGTGCCTCTTGCTCCTTTGCGAGGGCGTCCTCGTCATCGATCAGGTCGATGAGAGCGTGATGATGAGAGCGTCCAAGTCCAATAGCTTTTGAGACATACGTTGCGCTAGTTCCCACGTCTTTGGCTCCGTGTCTTCGCCTTCCAAGTCCTTGATTCGGTTGCCAAGTCGAGTGAGTGAAGCGCGAGCTACACCTCTTCTTTTCTTGGCATTGGCGAGCAAACGTCCCGGGTCAACAGTAGCCCTATTGAAGAGAGAGCACGTGGTATTCTAGATCAACGAAACGGGCGACATTCCGAGAAACAACCATCCACAATACGAAAGTTCGGGTTGTATCCGGCTCGAAGGACGAAAATATGTTCGAGTTCTTCTCGGATGCGATCGGATTTATCGCGGTGAAACTAAGGAGCGAGACTGCACCATTTTCTGAAAATCTCTTATTCTCTCTCTAATTTTGCGTAACTACAGACATTTCGAAATGTGTAGTGCGTATATGAGATGATACAACAACAGCCGCCTCGTAGCCTATAGTGCAAGAATAGTCGTGGACAGAAACACACACACAACTACTGTAACCCCCGCTGCGCATGCGGGCCGAGGTTTAATGAAAAGCACTGAAGTGCAAACCCGGCGCATTGTGACGCGCAAGCGTAAGTAAACGCATGCGCGGTACCACTAATTGATGAGCTGGGTTTAGTTTTAGCTCTTTGGGGTCGAATATAATTTTTACGTAGCGTCTTTACGCGCATGCGTTTTTCGCGCAATGCGCAACAGCGCGTTGCCACACCCTCCGCGTGCAATTCGCGCTATACGCAAGGGCTAGGAATGGAGAAGACGCTCGTGTGTGTGTTTTTCGCTGCAACGGAGAGTTCATCTGAAGCTTTTGACTCTTCTTGGAGTTCAGGAAAACCAGTGGTCAAGGTATGTCATTGTAATACGCAGGTAGCATATGACTTTCTAACACACTGACTGAATTCGAACTAGTGTCTGAATTTGTAGATGCCGTTGTTTTGAAGGGTGTCTGAGATTGTATTCTGTTTTGTGTGAGCCCCAGTTTGTGTTCAGGGTGGGTAGTGCCGCTTTGTCTTCAGGGAAGTGTGCTATAATTAGAGTTAGCTACATACACGTCTTTCGCGTTGTATGTGGTGTCACGATCTGTCAGCTAGCCAGCACCTAGCATGTTGTTTCCGTCGGGAATCCCCTCTTCGTAGGCTTCATGGGCATGTACTGAATCATGGAGGACCGACCTGTGTGCATGTATAGGTGTATTTGTGAACAGATTGTGTTTTTTACCCTTGTAGCCGATCATCGCCTCATCAACACTGTTTTGGGGGTGAGGGCTGTAATTCTCCTTGCACTTCCGCTTCATGTGTGTGATGATGGGGAGAACCTTCTGCAGACAATGGTACCCAGGCTCATTCTGTGAAGGTAAGCGTGTGTTGTCGACGAAGTGCAGTAGCGAGATATCTGTTCGAAGCGGTCGCGTGTCTTCGACGCAATGAATGTGTTGCGCAGCTTGTCGTCAGTGGACCAGTAGTCACGGATCTCGGGAAGGCGATTTATCCTCATGACTACCATGAAGCCAAGATAGGCTTTCAGTTCTTCAACTGAGGTTGTCCACGTGGCGTTGCTGTATGCATTTTATTACTGGGATAGTACAGATCTGTTTGTGTACTGTAAATTACTCATACCATTTTCTGGTCTGCAGGGTCCAAAATTGTCGCCCTGCATGATTCTCTCTCAGTTTCTATTCCCCTCCCTCTCCCCCTGCCCCTCCCCCTCCCTCTCCCCTCCCTCTTCCTCTTCTCTAGTCTCCCTCTCTGTCCCCCATTCTCTGTCATGCTTGTCTCTGATTGAGCTGCAATGCCATCCTCCTCGTTCGTCCAGTCCATATCACTCTCACTACTCTCTGAGCTCTCCATTTCTCCCGGACTACTGGCAGCAGGGATTGGCTCTGGATCTACAAGATTTTTACTAGCTCTAACCTTTTTAGTCTTATTTTTTTGCCTATTCTTGCGTGCAAAAAACATACCATCATGCATCTGCTCAGATTCTGACTCATGGACATCAGAGTCCCACTCCATCCCCAGGTCATCATCACTACGGACTCGGGGTCCTCTCCGGCGAAGAACTGGATCACTGAGATGTGCTGTGCCACCGTGTGGGTGTAGCTAGCAGAAACTAGGAGGAGCTGAAACGAGCAAACAGGCGTGGGTGTAGCTAGCGTTGCAGCGGCGGTACTGCGCAAGCCCGCGCGTTTGGTCATGATGACGTATGTACCCAAAAGGTCACGGTTTTAGTCTATTTGTGGGCAAAGTAATATCCAAAAAGCCTCTAAGCACGAGTGAAGACGCTGGAGGAAGATGCCGACTCCTGCAGCCGGCGAAGGGTCGAGGTAAGCGTTAACACGGAGTACCTACTCCGCGCGGAACGAATCCATTCCGCGTTATCACGCATTGACGCATATTTGCGTCCTCGGCCCCAAAGAGGGTCAGTCTATACTGTATATACAATGGGCCCTACCCCCATTGTAGCACTGTGGGCATGATATAAACAGGGGACCCACTACATATACATTGTGGTTACTCAATGCTAAGCCTAACAACAATGACAATGGAAAGAGCAGTGCTTCAACAATTCCCCACTAAGAGTCCATCCCCTTAGGGTCTTGGGTGTATGGCGGGTTATTAGTGATGCAAATTTAGACAGCTACTTACTCACCACAATAGGTATTCCAATATCGGGCCACTTCAGCTCAGCAGATGGGTCATCCTCATTGTTCCAGACAATCACCACTTTGTTTAGGGAAGGAATCCCTTTAAGGTGTGCAAGCCCCTCCATCAGTGCTTCGTTCCTTTTGTAAGTTATTATCACCACAGTAAACTGCTCAGGAGGTACATTCACAAGAAAATTTTTCTTGAAAGTTGACTCTATGGCAGCTCGTCCTTTCGCTGACTGCGACGCACTGTGAGCAAATTGCGACCTCGTTCAATCTACTGAAATGCAATCCAGGATTGAAGGGGGATGAAGGGTAGGAAAACAGGGGACCTGGGATATCATTCCAGAAACTCCACGAGTAGGCAGTGAAATTATTGGTGAAGGAAGGAGAGGTAATCTGCTTGTGGTGGGGGGCAGGGAAGTAAAGGAGCTGCTTCCAACAAGTGAGGAGCAGGGGGAGGTGGGTGGAGAGTCCGTGACCTCACTATGGCTACAGCAATCTGGACAACCCTCAGTGGAGAGCTGAAGTAGGTGTACCACAAATGTCGGCCCTTGAGTCTGAAGTTCTGAATGTCACCTGAACTAACACTACGCAGGATGTGGAGGATATCAGAGTACCGGCCAGAAGGAACGATGAGTCCTGCCCGACTCCAGTCAATTACTTCGTCAAATGGGAGAACCCCTACTCCAACGACAACTGGTATAGAGCCACACATCAGAGACTCTATCAGTCTAGTATAGATACCGACTCCTGTTCCAGCGTTAGGGCCACCTGGACTTGGGACGAGGGAGAACATAGACTTGGAACAGAGCTCAAGTCGAGATTTCTGGTCTCCACACAACATCCACTGCCCTCCACTGCCCTCTTTGTCTTCCCGGTGGCTGGCTGTTGGCACTGGAGCTGAATGTTCACTCTTTCTTTACCTTTTAAGAGCTGCTGGAGACTTCTGATGTGTTGTGGAGTGATAGCACCAGAGCCTGGGTGTTGATGTGGAGAGTGTTCTCCGTGGAAGTGGATAAAAGTTTCTCGGGAGACAGGAAGGAGAGGGGATAGCAAATCCATCGAGTCTGCCTCTGCCGTCCTGAGTGGAGGGAGAAGGATGTCAAAGCCTGTACTGAACGGCTTGGCTGGTGAGATGACACTCCGTGCAATGATAGCCTTTCCTGTTGAAACACCTTCCAGCATGCTGCGGCTGGTCAGTGGAAAGCTCAACCAGAATGTGGTTTTCGCCATATTCCCCCCACTGTGCCAGGGAGTGAATTTGTGTCTCCAGGTGGCCAACGTTTTCTCTTTCACTTTCTCTGTTCCAAAGAATACTGAAAAACACACATGCTTTAGTAGGGTCAGAGGTGTATGAACCTGTCTCCTTCAAGACATCTACTAAAAGTTGAGGAGAAAATGGATTTTCGTTCGAGGAAGACGTAAGCAGATCATCATACACATAGGTGGCGAATGGGTGAGTGAATGGACATTTCTCTAGGTTGAAACAGGTGTGAAATGTACAGGGGTTCCATGTACTGTTGGAACGGAGATCATCCTTTCCTGAGTGGGAAGGCACCATCAGGCTGCCTTCGAGAGTGATGCTGTTTGTGTCAAGAGCGACTCCTTCCTGAACATCGTGTTCATCCACCTTTCTCTGGTCCTGGTTATTGTCAATCCCAGTCACTTCACACGTGAAGCGACTCCTTGTCGCGTACACAATAAGCGCACTAAGTACAATGGATGCAGGGACACAAGTTACCAGCAGCCTCAAGGGTTTCCCCATAGCGAAGCAGACAATAACTCTGATCACTGCACCACGCACTAGTCTGGCG